GATTTGGTTCCGTTGCTTCCTGTCAGGCTTTTATTTTTACGTTACTTCCTGTTTTTGTTTTTCACCTCTGTTTTGGTCACTTTACGTTCACTAATCACTTACATTCGTTTCACCTGCTCCCGATAGTTTGCACTGTAATATAAGCAGCCTTCACCCTCCTATCCCTGCCAGATTGTTCTAGACTCTAGCTCTGACTCTCCAGCATCCATACCTTGCCTGACTCTGTTTCTGACCTTGGATTGTTTGTTTTGACCACCGTTTATTGCCTATGTCCTTCCAGTGTCTGATTGCCTGCAGTGTACCGACCTTCTGAGCTTCCCCTGGACCTCTTGAGTTTTGAATCCCCTGGCTACACCCGGACTGTGTTATACCTGGACTGTGTATTGGTTGCCTAGTTATCACAAGTAAAAACCTTTTCGTTCAAACAGTTCATCTGGTTTTATAATTGAGTCCACCACTAACACCGTTTGACGTCCTTATACGCCAAATCTGACAGTGTCACATATTGCCTTCAGTGAGTGTCCCAACTTCAAAGCAAAAGATGTGCGTTATACCTGTACTTGGAGCTGGTGAACCCAGAGGCTTGTTTTGCTGTTTGCACAGCTAAAGAAAATTTAGGTGGCACCAAAACATCTTGCAGCATCTTAACTTCACAGTCAAGGGACTTGGCAGCAAGTAAAAATCTACCCAACTCTCATTTTTTGACTGACATGACCATCTTTTGATTGATCACTCCTGTGTTTCTCCAGCAGTCTGTCACCAAATACACATATGAGAGGGTCATGTCTTAATTCAAGGGACACCTTGTCAATTACCATTCTCTTAACAATGTTTGAGCATCTTTCTAATGACTGTTCTTTGTATGGAAAGAGAGCTGAGGCAGCTCCTGTTCTTAATCCACTCTGACTTTGTTGATCCTCCCCTTTTTTTTTTTTTATGTGGCCTTTTGAAGTATGTAGCCGGGCCGTTTGGATGAGCAACCATTAGTCTGCTGCTCTACTCATTATGGTAAAGTGTCAACACTTCAGTGTGGCATTCTGTGCCCGTGAATGATTCTCGATCTAATGTAAGTGGAAACATTAAGTGCCACAATCGTAATCTAAATTTACCATGGAATATAATGAAATACCTTATGCAATTGACATTTTTGAGACAGCAGGGATTCTTCACACACTAAATACATTGTGAAGTAAACAGCTGTGGTGTTTATAAAGCCTGATTCCCAGTTTGGCTTTAATACTGGGTGATGATGACTATGGCACGTAGTCAAGGCCAGACAACAGCTTGAGTTTAAATGAAGTGAATTTCTGTTATGAATGAATTCTATGACTCAACCAGACTCAAACAACTCTTCAATCCTGGTCTGTATGTTTAATGAGACGCATGAAAGGCTGCCATGATTAATCAAGTTAGATTCCATATTAAACACACTACCACATGATTGTTGAGATTTTGGACCTCCATTGCACCATGTTGAGGTTTTACCTACAATCATTCAATATATAGCTTCAAATGTAAAATTGAAAAACAGCAGGACGGTCAGGGACAATGGTCAAAGGAGAACTAGAGAGACACATCAAATGAAAAGCATAAAGACATATTTAGGTGTTATTCTCATACCCTCGCTCTCCCATCTGCAGCCATTTTATATGCATTGTGGTCAACATTTTAGCGTAATTTATGTAGTGGCTAAGTGAAGGCTGTACAGAGTGAGTTTCATTATGTGCTAGATAAGCCAGATGGGTGGAATCATAGATGCACCACACTGTAGCAAACATATCTTATCTCTCAGGACACCAATTGTGGTGCTACCACAGTCTCCACAGTGTTGAGGCATGCATTTAATGCAACTTTAGTTGAAGGTGAGCCTAAAGCTCCAGGTGTTATAAATATTGCTTGATTCCCACCCACTTCTAAGCTGCCCTGTCTGTGCCCTTTTAAAGACACAGGCAGTATTAGTATTAGTAATTTAGACAGATCATTCTTTAGGATGAAAGGAGCCTATCCTAGCATTTTCCTTTTGGGTGGTCCACACAAGAAGAAATGTCCACACAAGAAAGGTGTTCCATCAGGGGTTGGTTCGCACAAGTATATAAAGACAAACCCACACACACACACACACACACACACACACACTCACTCCTCATTCCCATGGCAGTGTGTGAGCTTGAATAAACTGCATCCTTCCCTATAAAGATGCAGAAGGAGAGAGATCACTGAAACCCTGCAGTCTTATGTCCAACTCACACATGTACAGACTCCTCTGGATGCTGGAGCGACTGTTTTAGGAGCTAAAGGACCATGAGAGGAAGATGCTTCAAGACACTCTGATCACCTCTGAGAATGACAGTAAGACCATGAAGATCTTTATATTTCCATGACCAAACTGCAATTCTGCTTTTTAAATTATGTGACATAGGAGGAAATTCATTCTTTGAACCTGCAGAAAGAAATGTGAAGTATTTATTTGCCATAATCTGCTGTAAATTGTCTTTATGTTAACATGTTCATTAGGAAAATATTTCACCAATTGTCTTTGAATTTGTAGCATCTTTACATTATAGTTGTGATAACTGATTTGACATATATTTGTACAAAACCATTCATTTTTCTTGAGTTTAATAGGGTTTTAAGTTCATTAATATGAACAGAAGAGACAAATAAAAACAGAACAGCTATTTACACCATATTTTCCCACTGGTTTCTTGTATCCAGTTAACTCTGCAGCATATTGGGAGACTGGACTCTAGCCCTCAGCTGCCTCCCCCATTCTTATGGACTTAGCCATCCTGTCTAATTTCATTAGGCCATTGTTTGTCTTTTTTGTGCCCCTCTGCTGCACACGGCAGTAATGACCTGTGTTCTGGCCACTCTGGTTACACTAAGGACACACATCAAAGGCCGAATACATACCCATTCAGTCTGTCAGTGGTCCTTTATGTTTTCCTCTTTATTCCTCTTTACTGCAGGACAATAGTGTCAGGTACTCAATAAGGCAGGCTAACCTTGGACAATAAAAGGGATCAGTGTTGTATAATAAATGGACTAGATTTATAAAGCTGAGGTCATTAGATGAATCAGGGGTCAGTAATTCCCTGAAGGAAATTTATTTTCTCCTTTGAAGAATTAGGAATGGAAACTGTTATGTGCTTATTTACAGTATACATGTGTCTCAGATGAGTGACACTGTCTTCTCTGTAATAAAAATGTGAAAAATGCAAACCCTGATGAAGATGCAGAAATTACAAGTGCCTAATTTGATAGCATTGTTCCTGGTCTACCACAATGACAATGCAGCAAAAGTTACAAATACCTTATGTTATGTATGTCACCCAGTAATGCTTCAGGTAATCATGAAACATCTTCAACTTGTTGTAAGCTGAAAGTTGTCAAAACATTTTGTTGTCCACAGTTGACATTGAACTGGGAGTTGCAGGTGAGTGGGACATTAAATCACAAAAGCATCCTATGATTCATACCATTCTACTTTCAAAATACTCCAGACACCTTTTTTTGTCTAGTCATTCTTTTATTTTGCTCAGAAGCTCAAGACATTTCCCCTACCACCACATATCCATACCAAATCATCTACTGCAGTTACAATATGTACAGTACACTTTCACTCTATCATGACATACATACATCCCCAGTTACCACTTGGTTATCACACCTGGATAAAAAAAAATGTCACTGACAGAAAGAGTACATAGGTGGAGGACATTCATAAACTTTACAATGAAGTGACTGTGGTTTTACAGCACTACAGACAGTATCAGGGATGTGAGCATGCGTGAATAAAAATAGCATCTATGTTTTTACAGATAATGAGGATGATGTTTCCATTTTTCAAGAGGAACATATGAGGAAAAAACACAGAAGAAAAAGAAGAAATAATGACAGAGAGAGAAAAAAGAGGGGGAATGGGAAAATAAAAAGAGCATCAAAAGTAGGAGAGGGGAAAGAGGAATTACAGGGCAGAGCTGAGAAAAGACAAAGGGGCAGGAGAAGGAGAGCCAAAACTGATCAAGAGTCAGAAAGAAGAGAGAGGGATGAGGAAGAGCAGGCTGAAATAAAAAGTGGTAAGGTGGCAAAAACAAGGAAGAATATCAAAAATGAAAAAACAAGACAAATGGAGCAGGAGAAGGGAGAAACTGGAGAGACAAATGAGAAGGGAAAAAAGAAGCATGGAAGTGCCAAAAAAGAAGAAAAAGAAGAGGATGAAGGTAAACACACAGTAAAGGAGGAAGCACAGGAAGTGAAGAAGAAAAAGCACAAGAAAGTAATTGTTACAAGGTAAAGGATTATCTTACAAATTCGCCTTATTTGATGCTTCCTGCGGAGAAAAACACTTGTGTTATTCACACTGACAAGTGCAAAGACCACATTACTCCTCTATGCCTCAGTTCAGAGCCGGAGACGAGTGAGGCAGATGACCACGAGGATGATGACAATGAGGAGACAGAGGTGAGGCCAGAGTCTCTGTCACCTGAAGAACTGGAGAAGCTGAAGGAGGCGATGGATGAGAGGAAGAAACTGATCCAGAGTCTGAGGGGCAAACCCTGGCCAATGAAACAGAAACTAGACACTTTACGGTACTTTACTTTCTTACTGATTAAATTTGAATCCCAAGCTAATCAGATTCCCCTGAGTTCCCAGCTGTAATTCAAGGTGTCCCCAGCAAATCCATCAATTAAATATTTACTTTGTCATAGGGAGTCTCAAGAGTTTGTGGAGAAACATGAGGGAGCTTTGGGGAAAGGGAGGGGCAGAAAACTCTATGCTTACAAGGTCATGATGACCAAGGCAAGGATACACTCATTTATATCATGATTTAATAATATACACAAATATATGATCTATTTTTAAAATTTCATTTGATTTTATTAGAAATGGATGAAGTTCCAACGGGACTTTGAAAACTTCAAAACTGCCTGCATTCCCTGGGAGATGAAAATTAAGGAGATAGAAAGTAAGTTTATTTTTCAGATATACTTTTTCCTTGTAGGCTCAGATTTTATTTCCAGGACAAAAATATGACTATGAATAAAAGATGTATCATTCTACTGGAGATGTATAGAGAGAGTATAGGTACAGTACATAGCACGCAGTTTGCAGGCCTCACATTAGTTTCCTTGTTTTTAATGGTGTAACAATCATCCAAGTATTAATTCCCCTTGCCTCTCAGGTCATTTTGGCTCCTCAGTTGCCTCTTATTTTATCTTCCTGAGGTGGATGTATGGCATCAACATGATCTTATTTGGTCTGACCTTTGGCCTGGTTATGGTGCCAGAGGTATGGTATCTTTTCTCATCATAATTTCTGTGTATTGCATCAGTGGTTTGCTCTTATTTATATTTCATAATTAAGTCTAATTGTTTGTGTGTTTTCAAGATGGTTTTTAATAACAACCCTCCTTTTCAGAGCTTGGCAGACATTTTCTATGAACTAGCTAGCTGCATGTCCTCCCCCACAAAACTTTCCTGCAGTGCACCTCAAGGATTGATTTTCAGCCCCTCTTTCTCTCAATCTGCTTGTATATGCGTGTCCGTGGTCATACAATTAGAAGACACAACATTTTGCTGTTCAGTTATATTTTCATGTCAACACTACCTACTGATTCTTGTAGTTTGGCTGCATCAGATACTGCTTTGAGTATATTAAGTATTCAATGTCTTATAACTTTCTTTGTGATACAAAAGACAAGTCAGAAAGTTATATTTGCCCCACTCAGCAGGGAGTTATTTCTGATTCTGATCTGTACTTTGAAAACCAAGTACATGGGATTTTTTTAGTCCTGTTATTATTAGACATGAAGCATATCTAAATTGAAATATTTTTGTCTGTCACTGACTTGGAGAAAGTTATTCATGGCATCATTTTATCCTGTCAAGATTACTGTAACTCTTCATATTCTGTACCCAGTCCAAAATGCACCTGCTCTGCTTTTAACTGGAACCATGAAAACAGAACACACCTATACTGGGACCTAAACTATGGAAAGAACTGACATTTGTTCTACTGTATCTGCAGTAAAATTCTATAGTAGTAGAAGTAAATCAAATCAAATCAAATCAAATTTTATTTGTATAGCTCCAAATCACAGCAAAAGTCATCTCAGGACACTTTACAAAGTAAGGTCTAGACCTTACTGTTATCAATATTATTACATAGGGAAAACCCAACAAATCCCCCTTGAGCAAGCACTTGGCGACAGTGGGGAGGAAAAACTCCCTTTAACGGAAGAAACCTCCGACAGACCCCAGCTCTTGGTGGGCGGCCTTCTGCCTCGACCGGTTGGGGTGAGTGAGAGGAGAGGAGAGGAGAGGAGAGGAGAGGAGAGGAGAGGGGAGGGGAGGAGAGCAGAGCAGAGCAGGAGGGGAGAGGAAAGAAACTCAGAGCATCATGGGGCCCCCCAGCAGCCTAGGCCTATAGCAGCATAACCAAGGGAAGGCTCAGGGTCATCTGATCCAGCCCTAACTATAAGCTTTATCAAAAAGGAAAGTCTTAAGTCTAATCTTCAAGGTAGAGAGGTAGTCTGCCTCCTGAACTGAGACTGGGAGTTGGTTCCATAGGAGAGGAGCTTGATAGCTAAAGGCTCTGCCTCCCATTCTGCTTCTGTGGACTCTAGGAACCACAAGTAAACCTGCACTCTGAGAGTGAAGTGTTCTGTTAGGATGATAAGGCTTTACGAGGTCTACGAGAAGTAGATGTCATTGTTGTTGTTGTTGTTGTTGTTACAGGCATTAATGGGGAAGTCATATGGCAGCATTCCAAGGAAGACTGTCCCCAGAGCCGAGGAAGCCAGTGCCATGGACTTTGCCGTCTTATGGGACTTTGGGGTCAGTGGACTGTGTGTAACATTATGCTCTCCTCACCCACTTTAAATAGCATTTTATGTTCCTTTGCTTCGTATTTCTGTGTGGCACTTTTTAAATAAAGATGAAGTGCAGTCCAGTGTTCTGAAAGGAACACCCACACATCTGTGACTTTAGCATAAGTCACGGCAATTAAAACTTCTGTCCGCAGGGTTATGCTCAGTATTCAGTCCTCTTCTATGGTTACTACAACAACCAGCGTGCCATTGGCTGGCTCAAGTTTCGCATGCCTTTGTCGTACTTCCTGGTTGGCGTGGGTACAGTGGCATATAGCTATATGGTGGTCATAAGAACGTATGTGTTTTATGACTTCATGTAATTAATGAGCCTCTTTAAGGCACAATCTTATACTGAATCTGTAATTATTTTTGAATAAAGGATGGCCCGTAATGCAAATGAGTCTGGGATTGGAGATGACAACAGCTTTAATTTCAGCTGGAAAATGTTCACCAGCTGGGACTACCTGATAGGAAACCCTGAAACTGCAGATAATAAGTTTGCCTCCATCACCACCAGTTTCAAGGTTGGTGAAGCTGGTTGTTGGTGTTTCAGTATAATAAATTATGTAATTTATACTACATCTATATCCTGTTTATCCCTTGCTCTACGTTACCAGGAGGCAATCTTAGAGGAGCAAGAGAGTCTAAAGGATGACAATATCCATCTGACTCGTTTCCTGCGGGTGCTGGCCAACTTCTTGGTATTGTGCTGCTTAGCGGGAAGTGGATATTTAATCTACTTTGTAGTGCGCCGCTCTCAGAAGTTTACCCTAGATGGACTGGAGAATCACACTTGGTGGGAAAGGAATGAGGTAGGAATGAGAGAAACAGGGACAGGGGATCAAAAGTTCAAGACCTCTTGAGCATGTTCATTATTTAGAGTTTGGTGATATATATTTAAAGCATACTGTACTCCCATTTTAAAAATGTGGCTGATGGACATTCATCAGTTTTGAGATAGTGACAGCATGAAGAACACACCTCACACCAGCAATGAATGTTTAGCCTATTACAGTCTCTTTCATTCAGGTGTTCCAGCTCCCTGTTACTGTGCAGGCTCCATCACCACATTGCTTACTTGGACACCTACTGTACTGGAACAATGATATTAGTCAAACCTATGCTTTCCCTGCTGTAACAAGTCAAAATATCTGTTGTGAAAAAGGCTGACTGTTCATCTGACAGAGTGAGAGGTTTACCAGTTAGACATGTGGCTTTGCCTCATGCTTTTGTGTTTTTGTCTCCTTCAGTGTTTTTTAATGCAGTTTCATCACTATCAATAATTCGTTTTTATTTTTACCCTACACTTCCTTAGTGCTCTACATCAGAGGAATAGTGTACTAGTTTGTTGGTACTCACAAAGTTCTGTGCAGTCCTTTAGTGACCTCACATGTCACGTGAGCTTTCTTGAGTCTAAGCCTCATGTGTTTTTCAGGTTAACATGGTCATGTCTTTACTGGGGATGTTCTGCCCCATGCTCTTTGATGTCATCAGCACCCTGGAGAACTACCACCCTCGTGTCGCCCTGCAGTGGCAGCTGGGTCGCATCTTTGCCCTCTTCCTGGGAAATCTCTACACCTTCATCATTGCACTCATGGATGAAATCAACATCAAAGTAAAATGTGTGCAGATATGTGGTATACTTTTGTATAGTTTCAGTATAATTAAAGTGAAGTGTGTATGTCTCAGAGGGAAGAGGAAAATATTGTGAAGTTTAATATAACCATGTGGGAAGCCAGCCTTTACAATGGCACATTAATGGAAAACAGCACTGCTCCACCCTTCACTATCCACCCTGCTGATGTGCCCAGAGGACCCTGCTGGGAGACCATGGTGGGGCAGGTCAGTGTGCATGTGTGTGTGTGTGTGTGTGCTTGTTTTTTTAAATAATAAGCTACTCAGCCTACTTGGCTTTCTGTCGGCCATCTTGGTTTTGCGGTGTTATTGTTGCGCTTAACAATGACTGACAGTGGGTGGCAGAGTATGAAATGACACACCAGCGTCCACTGTAGTGGGTGATATGCAGCTACACAACCAGAACCCAGGCACATACAAGAAAACAGCTTTTAAATGGCTGTCCACTTTATCAGTGGGCAGCTATCTTTTACTAGAATTTTAAAATGGATTGAATTGAAATGCTTGACACTCCACATCAAAATTGCATTCAACAGTGATTACTTACATAAAGAAATGTATTCTGATCACAGTCTGTTACCAAAGTGAAAGAAATGCAAAGATCAGGTGATTTACTGTAATGTTAGGGCTACATTAAAAATGAAAAACAAGTATTGGGTAGCTACATTTTGTAATCAGAAAACTTACACACAACTAACACAGGCATGTTCCATATTGAGGCATACTCAGTGATAAAGTGGTAAATAAAAAAAATAGTATAACTTCTGTAAAGTGACCATCATGAGACAAACCGCCACCAATGTCATCAAGACAGGAAAACAATTGTTTCCTTTAATTTATCCATACCATTCCAATTTAATATTCATGTGAGATACTGTATGTATGCATACACATTATATAAGATTGCTTCATTCTTTGAAGGAGTTTGTCCGGCTGATCATATCTGATACCATGATGACCTACATCACACTACTGATAGGTGATTTCTTGAGAGCCGTGCTTGTCCGTTTTCTCAACAACTGCTGGTGTTGGGACCTTGAAGCTGGATTTGTGAGTCATCTTTTCTACCTGATAACAGTGAAAGTTAGCAGAATAGATAATGTATTTATTATTAGACCTTAAAATATGCACCTTTTGTAGAGATGAATTTAAATGTTGGCAATGAAAATATCAGTCACAGTAGGGTTTCTTTTGTCTTTTTTGTTGTTTGTGAAAGCCATCCTACTCTGAGTTTGATGTCAGTGGGAATGTCCTTGGCCTGATCTTCAATCAGGGAATGATATGGTACTGGACAGCATATGAACAGCATATCAAGCACCCTGTCACTTCTAATTTTGTGTTTTATTTACAACCTGCAGTACTGGTATTATGGAAAACTACTTATGATGGTGATGTTGACGATGATGATGAATGGCACTTTCAGCCTGCCTTCCGCTGAGTGTTTTGCTAAATGTTTTCCCCCAGGATGGGTGCATTTTATGCCCCCTGCTTGCCTGCTCTGAACGTCCTACGGCTCCATGTGTCCATGTACCTGCAGTGCTGGGCTGTGATGTGCTGTAATGTGCCACAGGAAAGAGTTTTCAAGGCCTCTGGTTCCAATAACTTCTATATGGCCATGTTGCTCGTCATCCTCTTCCTGTCCACTCTGCCTGCCATCTACACCATTGTCACCATCCCCCCATCCTTTGACTGTGGACCCTTCAGGTAATTATGCTTATTCCGGAGGTCTGGTATTTACATTCTGAGTACTTGGCTTTCTGTCACAGTCATTCTCTTCTCCTTAGTGGGAAAAAACGAATGTTTGATGTGATCCATGAGACACTTGAGTCTGACTTCCCCGTCTGGTTTAGTAAAGTGTTCAGCTATGCCTCTAACCCTGGACTGGTGCTACCCTTCATATTACTTATGGCGTGAGTCAATAAACACTCAGTAGTAGACTGCATGGATATACAGTATATGCATGACCATTTATTTTTAATTGCAAGATTTAAGTATTTTTTGGAAATAATCTATTTTTCAGACTGGCCATTTATTACTTGCAATCTACAGCCAAAAGCTACAAAGAAGCTAATGTGGAACTGAAGAAAAAAGTACAAATGGTAACCTGCAATGAAATTTAAATTTTCATTCTCATTACCACTAGTTTACTTTTTATGTGCTTATGAATACACTGGAACTAATAAATGGAAATGTCACATGAATAACATTCATCATCCATATCACTTCACATGTGATGTGAGGTGACAGTGTTAACTTCTGACAAAGCGTGGAAATTGAATTTGGTCAAGTAAAAGCAAGAAAATCCTAGGAACTTTCATGTTTGTTATTTGTTCGTCCTCCAGAACTGTACTTACTTTCACTACATTTTAGCAGCATGAAAACTTCTCCAAGCGTGTAGATGCACAACTAGACCACATGAGGCCACTGTGGTGTCTGTCTGTGGCCATAGTGGTTGTACTGGTACCATCAGTCCACCAGAGAGCAGCAGAGTAACATATCTGTCCAAAAATTAGTGAGTTCAGCAATCAGCACTATGTTGCCTGTGCTGCTTAACTTGTACCCCGAGTTAGCTGAATAGGTTTTTAACAGTCCATATTATAATTTCTAATGTGTCCCAAGCAAAATGAAGAAAACAAGAAGAAAAACAAAAGGGCAGCACTGAAAGCACAACTGGATCTAGAGGAGGCCAGAAAAGCAGCATCGCAGGCTGCAGAGCAACAAAAGAACAATGCTTCACCACATGACCAGGAGGGTGAGACTTATATTTATAAGAAGATTGAGTACAAACCAAAACACCAACTAAACTGCAAGATTAAATTAATTCACAGATGAAAGATAGTTGCAGTCAGGCAACTTTAGCTGAAAAAGAAAAACAAAACAAAACAACAACTCCAGTCTTCTCAATAGATGCACGCACATAGTCTTTGACAACAATAAAAAGGCTGGAGGAATCTTTGCCCAGTTTTTTTTCCTGTATGCTGTATGCTAACTAGTGATGCTATATTTTTCACCTGGAAGTATAAATTTCTTCTTCTTCTACCTTCTATTTCAGCAAATGTGGACAATGGTGTTAGTCAGATACTGCATCATGGTAAGAATGGAAGCAACCCTCCTCCTCCTGTTAGAGGTCAAGAATGCTACCTTCCAGCCCCTGTCCCCAGAACCAATCACCGTGGCATCCATGGGGCAACTGGTTACCGGCCTGGTTGCCCTCAACAAAGTGAAACCAGGATGTACAGGGTACCAAGCCTGCAGAGACACTGAGGGAGTGTGACTCAAAGCCAAGCTCTGTATGAGAAATTGACATTTAGGATGTACTCTGTGAACTGGGAGTAATTAAACCTTTTTCTTCTTTCTTCTTCTTCAGGCTGTTCCTGTTAGGGCTCGTTTTTAAACTGTCTGTGATAAAACAGAACATAATTTTCTTCAGATGTTGCTATATCGATCTTATGTCAATTTCTTTTGAAGCCACTAATTGGTTGATTTTTCAATTAAATCTGTAGAAAACTGTAAATTAATTTGAAATTCGTTTGAGTTAACCTGGTGTATGCTACAAGTACATTGGCTATAGACAGATGTGCAGCTAATACAGAGGTCTCCATATTAGTTCTGATTGGCCTAATCTTTTATCACACCAACTCATCACTACACAGCAATTATTATGTTTTTGAAATGAGTTAACTAATGATGGGGTTGTTTTTTTATGTCAGTCATTTTATATAAACATTTTGCCTCTGAAGACATAAGATGCATCACATGCAATAACCATGCTTTAATTTTGATTGTTAACTTGATTTAGCTTAAGTTGATCTTTGATTTCCTAACACATTTGTTTGATTACATTGAATATTATAATTGTTTTCAAACAAGCTGACGTGTTTTCCTTTTGGCCTTCGACACTGAGCACAACTGTCCCTTGACCTGTGACTGCACCACAGTTTTAAACAATTCATTAGTCATTTAACCTAGCTAGTTAGGCTGAAATGGATTGCTCACCCATCTCTGGCTGGTCTTAAATAATCTATATGTGTTGTTCAGCTGTATAATTCCATTCAGATTTGTGCTTTCAGTGTAAATCTATTCATTGTGGTCTCCTGACCTTTATGTAGCAACAATCTCTGGCTTTGATCATCTAATAATCACAGTGGCATAACCAGTTGCTCCTCTGCACTTGCTGGACACTGAGCAGTCTGCCATTCAAATCTACTGTAACAGTACCAGCGATTGTCCTTGACAGTGCTGTTCTGTACAGGTTGTGAAAGATCCACTTCCATTAATGATAATGATCAATTCATGGCAAGTAAACATAAATTCTGCAGTTATTTGATAGGCAGACAATGAAGGAAGTCCCTATGCTTCATGCTGTCACCATGAGCCAAGGACTGTCACATTAGTCAACAAAGACTGAGCAGACTTAAAAAAGAGACAAGTCTTCTCTGTGTACTGGAGTCTCATAATCTATCGCACTCTTGTTTACTCCCCTGTCTCTAAACCACTATACCACCACTTTTGCTTTGTAGAAATAAATGCTGGTGATATGCTTTTCGTGTCAGAAACGGTGCGCGATGCTGCCAAAAAGTGTTTAGTGAACTCAATTAAAAGACCAGACGAGGAAGTGTTGAACAAAACCAACTCTTAATAAGAGAACCAAAACCATACAGGACAAGGTGAAACACAAAACTCACGGTCTGTATCAGTCACAGGTCAGAGCCAGCAAACACATACATCCAGGGGAATCCAAAGTTCGTTGTCCAAAAGGGAAAGTCCGATAATCATACACGGTGGCAGTTCGTAACAAGAGGGCGAGGCAGAATAGAATAGTCCAAGGTAACAGTCCGGGATCAGAAACACAAAATACCAAAACTGAAGAAACTGCTGGAAAGTCAGAGCGGGGGTCTAGAACAATCTGGCAGCGTCCTGGTGGGAGGACGCTGCCTAAATAGAGGTGCAAACAATAACAAAACAGGTGAAACCAATGTGAGTGATGAAGAACGTAAAAAGACCGAAACTAAGGTGAAACAAAAACAGGAAGTAACGTCAAAATAAAAGCCGGACAGGAAGCAGCAGAACCGAATCATGACATTTAGTGCATCTTAAGCATAAATGCATCTAGGCCCTCTGTAAGCCTAAAGTACAGTGTAGCAGTAAGGAAGGTTAAAGTCTGATAGAGATAGTAGCAAGTAGTGGAGGGGGACAATCAGGAGGAAGAGCAAGAAGTGGGGCTGGATGAGGACGACATGAGCAGCTCTACCCAGAGGGCTGTCTTCCAGGTACAAGCCTTCAAGCCAGCCTTAATTTTGTGTTAGCTGCATCTCCTGTTTCCCCCTGCATTATTCAAAAGGTCTGATCTGATACTTGATTATAACCACAGAGGCCATCTTAGTGGTTGAAATACATAATGTATCAAATTCAGGCTACACTATTTGTTCTCCAGGGTTTCCCTGATGAGCTGCAGTGGAAAGTTACACAAAGACAAATTGACGTAAAATATTGGAGCTTGCAAAAATACAAGTTGCCAATATCATTGTACTATTATGTATTTCTTTTAAATAAACAAAAGCAGTTTGGTGTATTTTGTTGCACATCACATAATTAGAATCACATTTTAGAAAAGGGTTTCTTCATGGCCATCATGACCAGGAGGAGTGACAGTCTGTGAGTCTTTCCTCTAATGAAAGGCTTGTCAAATTCATTGACTTGTCTTTTTAAAAGCATTGGTTTGTAGTACATATTCACTGGGATAACTCTTACAGTGTATGTTAATAACAGGTCCAGTATATACTGGCCTGTTTCAATTTTCACTTTGGATTAATTAAGTTTCATTCAGCTTTAATGACCTCTGGTGACGCCTTACTGTAGTGTCTTCTTTCATGGACACAACTGAATGATGACAAATGTCTAACCTCAGCTATCAGGATCAAGGCTGTTTCACATACAGTATATAACAATGATGTGCGTAAACA